GGCCTATTTAGGTGTACTTACTTAAATTTCGTTTGGTTCATTGAAGCTATTATATCCTGAAAAAAATTATAATCAACAGAATTTTATTCTTTATCGTTCATGATACTACTGACTTATATTACAATATATGCTTAAAAATCATGTGATACAAACGTGCTATTATTTTTTCAAGAAATCATATTTTATGGTATTTAAAAATCTTAAGCAAATACAAGTAATCAAATAATATATAATATTAGCTGTGAGTTATTAGTGATATAAAATAAAAATTTCGATAATTATATTTTATATCGATGTATGCGTTAACCCATATATCACGTAACTTATTATTTAAACAGTTAAAATACATTTTTGTTCATGGTGTTGTATTCTAAAAATAAAAAATTATTCATTTGCAAATTGTCTGATACGGATGTTTCTGCTGACATGCATTGAAGGTGTACTCGTGTGTAGCAATGTGTATTATTTACTAACTTCAAACAAAATGATAATGACCAAGGAAAAAAAATTAATGAAAAAAGCTAATCGTATCATTCAAAAGCAAGCATTTCTCTTTTATTGATGAAAAGAAATGTCTTTCAAAGAACAAACAAAATAAAAATATCTTTGCATAATTATTCAATACATTAGTTAATGTTATTTTCGTGTTTCATTGTATTCATTCGTTAAAAGACTAATTTGATTCTTCAACGAAAATAAAAATTACTTGAAACAAAAGGATCGGCTCGTTGTGCTTATTTAAAAATTTTCTTTATTTGCATTAACAGTAACACTAAAATACAAAGCCATATGAGGTGAGTTGCTTGACTCAGGCCTTTAAAACACTTGAATACATTAAGCGAGACAGTTAATTTGAAAAATTGTTCATAAAAGTAATTTCACGGGGCCAATACAAACAATTGAATTATTTCAATGAGATTAAAAATCGATGTACACTCATTAATGGGTTCGATTGATTGTCCCAGTTCAAACATAAAATTAAAAATATAGAGTGTTAATTTGAACAAATACTTTTTTTTTCATTGATTACGTATTTCTGCAGAAACACCTAAGACTCGATTTTTATCTACAAATGTACAATGAATTTATGGTAGTAGCGCGATTCGTTCAGAAAAGGTAGGAAGTACACATTTTGTTGCGTCAATGGAGCTATTAATTAAAGAAATGATACTTTCTTGCCACGTCAAGATACACATAGAGCAAATCGATTTACAATTGTCACGCTCTGTTTCGCTTTCATTTCAACAATGAAGTGCAATTAATTTTTCAAACCCCGCTGGCATCGCCGTCATCCCTCGTATACATACGCATCCGTGCAGTGTATAAATGCGTGTATTTAGCATGCAAATTGAAACGATAATTGTCAGTTGTATACAGTCGAGCAAAGATTCACCTGCGATACGACAACAACATCAACAACAAAAATAACAGCAGCAGCAGCAGATATACATAATTGTGCGAGGTAACGATGCACGCAGAAAAAGAAAGAGCGAGCAAAATTTGCATAGCCACTTGTATACGTACGATATATTCACGGTGGTGTATATAATATAAAGTGCACATGCATGTGAGAGCTGCGCCGCTGCTGCCTATACAGAGGGAGGTAATGCGCAAAACGACTTGACCTTGGCTAGATTCACGCGTAGCTGAGCTAATGCAAAATCGAAGCAAGTTACTTCCAGCAGCTTGGATCTTACCCATTTAAGCTCGTTTCATAGTGCCGCTGCTGCTGCCGCTGTTCTGCCTATATGTGCTATACATAGCTGCTACTATACTACTACGGTCGTCCGCGTGTGTATATACTCGCTGAGCTGCGTCTTTCACCCCCGTTTACGCACCCATACGCACTTATACATATACACGCACAGACACACAGACCGAGAAAGATAGAGAAATGTATACGACGCTTGCCTTGCGGATAATATAATCGCTCGCGTGTGCCCGCGGCAGTTTTCCTACTGTCACTCGCAGGCGCCCAACTTGAATCGCTATTTATACGTGTGTACGTGCAAAATGCATTAAATGCTTACTACACCAAAGCGCACGCCAAAGCTTTGCCGATGAATTCTGTTTGTACTTTAATAAGTGCGCTGTACATATATTTCGCGATTACTCGCTGCGAGCATAATAGTATAACGCGAGATACTTCATTAAAGAAATTATTGTTATTACATTTTACGTTAATATATAACGTTTGATTTTTATGCGAGCGAATATAACGTTCATTACAGTCACCAAGATTTTACACAAAATGATGTATCTTAACGTAGAATTTGGACCATGCTCTAGATCTCATACTACAAACGAGTCTCGAAACTAATTGCATCTCGCGTCTCGAGTCGCGGAATAGAGCTCAATAATTGCATACTCTTGATTATGGCTGCACAGTGTAATGCGGTAAACAGGTGTGTGCAGCTCTCGAATGGGAGATAATTTGCTAGTCGGTTAAATCGTCACAGAGAGCGCGGCCTGATGCCGCTCTCTCGACGTTCAAGCGCTTCTCTAACGCTCGGGATCAGCAGCTCTCTAAGCAAGTTAAACCGAGTAAACTTCTTGCACCCTTACAGCTATATAGCAGCGTGACTATGTAATACCGAGCGAACTCGTGCGCGCAGTGGCAGTGGATGGCCCTCAGAGGCTGCTGCTGCTGCTGCTGCTGCTTCCTTGTCGCGCACTCGAACGGGGAGGAGGATGCGATTTTGAGAAAGGACTTCGGGCGCTGTATGCCAAGAAAAAGAGAGACAACGACTTTATAAGAGCGTTTACATCCATCTACTTGAAAAAATATCGAACTGCGATATAGATGTAAGCGTAGTAGAGTAGAGTGCGAAGCCGAAAGAAGAAAAAAGTCATATCGTGGCCCTTGCAACGCGCACGCATATAATATTCGCGCTCGAGTAAAAAGTGCTCGGCTGCTGCTGCGATCGCGAGAGTTAATACGACGAAAACTTCAAACGAGCCTCCCCGTGTGCGTGCGTGTGCCCTTGGAGTTTAATATAATAATAGCAGCGAGCCGAGGCCTCGCTCGGAATCGGCGTCGAAATTACATTATTCGACAATTCCATCATCTCATAATAGGGAAACACAATATCCTGCGCTCGGAGCGTGCAATATTTGCGAGTGTGTGTGCATGTATCGCTATACTGTACTTCTGTGTGTCTGCGTCGGAGGACATGTATAGGCATGCGTCGTGTATAGGCCCCTTGCTCATCCTTGCGTGCATCGTGCGTGGTATCGTACTGTAGCTGATATTAACGCCGGTGCGCGGGCGGAACGGCTGACTAGACAGCATCGCCCGCGATTTATACAACTGCTGCTGCACGTATATATATACACATCGGCGAGGGGACAAACAACGCGCAATTATTACATATTTTAATATCGAGCACCGACAAACGGGCAACTTCGACTATTTAATACGCGACGAATACCCAGGCGAGGTATTTTCATATTTATAACCCATCCCCGTTTGACGGGAGTACACGAGCGACGTAATGACGTCGATCGAAACGATTCGTGCACGCGCGCGATATTACCGAAAAAATCTTTATTGTTTTTCCATTTCTCTTTTATCTTGTCGCTTTGGAGAATTATTTCGATCCTCGGAGTTCGAGGAAATATTTCTGATGAAGGATGTGAATATTTTTAAAATCCTATCTAGTGTAATGTCGGGTATAATGCACATTGTAATGCATTCTCAGCTGCAGTATAGATGCAGGCTAGAAAAGCAATAATTAGATAACATATACGTGAAAGCTAAATATAGATTGGCTATACAGAGGTCGTGGAAGTTCTATACTGCATATTGATAAGATATATAAGAGATACTAAGAGTTTTGTTGTTGTTTCAATACTAATTCTGCTAAAGATATAAATAATTACCGGCTAACGCTTCAGTAAAAATAATTTACGATTATAATAATCTGCAAGTAAATCGATCCAACGACGTGTAGCCGTGATCGTTACGATTTTTTATGCGAAAAGATAGGAAAAATCAATATTTATCTACGGCGTTAGAGCGAACGCGGTTACGAGAGCTAAGTACACTAGTAAATACGTAATAATTCAGCTCGCGCTATAAAATAGTCGGAGTCGTTTTAACCGAGATTATAATATTTCGCGCCGGTTTTATCGCTCGCCAAAAAGTGTGTCACGGATACGCCTGGCACTTGTGATCCGACGCGTGTCAAAGGACTCGTGTGCAAATCCACGTCGCGGGACGATGTTCATACGGAGTATGTACGAGGCGAAGTTAAAAGGAATCGTTTCCGTATCGGGGGTTGCGATGGCCCGAAGTCGGATGCATCTCTTTCTCGATTACTGCGGCGAATGCAAAGAAGCTTTGCTGCATTACGAAGCGAGAGAAGGAGCAAAATGTGTATCGCATACTCTCGGACGCGAGATACATATCGCGCAGAGTCTGAACGGAATATGAGTATATGAGCACGACGACGACGAGGAGAGAAGGAAGAGAGAAAGAGAAGCAGAGTGGGGGCAGATGCGCTTGCGCAGGCCCGGCCTTCCGCGCGACTGCACACACCCACCGGGTAGGTACGAATCGATGCGCTCCCGTCTGCCATTGGCCCGCAGTTTACCCTCGCTGCATATACCACCGAGGCTGCGCGCAGCGTGTCCCCCTCCATGTGGCTGTGCCGAGAACTCGACGTAGACTCCGAAACCGCGAGGCCTGCCTTTCTCTCTTTCTCTCTTTCTCTATCTCGTTGACTGCTGCCTGCTACCTCGAAGCCAAGAGAAAGAGAGAGAGAGAGAGAGAGAGAGAGAGAGAGTCGGTAGTGGCGCAAAAGGGACGGCAAAAGCAAGGGGGCGCACAAGCAACGTACTAGTGGCTATATGCACACCCGAGTCTCTCGCAGTTCTGCACGATACACATGTGTACTATGCCCCCGTGTGTAGTGGCAGCAGCTAGCAGCAGCCCTTGCTGATCGCCTCAGCCGCTGGAAATGCCTTAGTCGAGCCGCCGCTGTCGCGCGAGCGCGTCTTATCGATGCCGCTGCTGCTGCTCTCGTTACTACTACTGCTCGTCGTGTGCTGCTGCTACTGCTGCTGAAGGCGCACACCTTCTCTCTGAATCGCGCACGCACACCTACCTATTTGTTCATTTACACATGATTCAAATACACGCATGATTTGATTGTACATATATCAAGCATTGTCGTAACGAATCGACAAGCAGTGGCTGCTCGTAATCCATCGACGGCATTTAAGTGATAAGCTACCGTGTGTAAAGCGGACGTGGGAGAGAAGTACACAGTTTTTATTTTTAGTGCAATAGTATAATACGACGATGATATGAGATCAGTGCAGTTTTACGATTTCCCTTTGTGATATATATATCGAGAAAAATATGTAATTTGTAACCGAGATAAACTTCCGCAAAAGGACTCTGGTGACGTACACGTGCACTGGATTCACAAACATTGACTTGCATCGAGTGCAACGATACCATTGTATTTTAACGATAAAAAGAATAAACGCGTGTGGCAGTGTGCGCAAATCGAGTCGTGCATCGTGAAGGATTTAAAACGCCGTGACGCATCGGGATCGATTGGAACAAGAAAAAACAACGACGATAAAAAACAAAGTGATTCGACGTGCGACGCACGAGCGCAAAAAGTCCGCCGACCGACGACGACGGATCTTGGTAAGTGCAGTCCACGTGTTTCCGCGTTTACGCGCGTGCGGCGGACTACTACGTATCCGTTGCAGTTCGCGTACAACACACATTTTTGAGTTTTTCTCCGAAGCGCGCGACACTTCTATACGGAGTGATTTTGCGTGAGCTTTCACAAAATACGTAACGGGATCCACATGCGGATTAATTTTTGATTAATCGAAGCAAGACATGTATGACATGATTTTTTGTTTTCATAAATTTTGATATTGCGTAATTGCTTTAATTTCGTGCTTCGATTACATGTCGATTCGCGAAAATTAAAATAAATTTCCGTACGTCCCCGAGACACGTTGAGGAACATCGGCGTTATCTCCGAAATCGGGGCGCAGTCGTGTATTATAATCGTTCATCGAAGTCGGAGCATCCTCGAATACTCACATCTGTTCTGAAAACAATGGCACATTAAACGCTAAATAGGTCACGTTCATAGTTCATCTTCGAATCATTTCGTATTTTTTATCGATATATAGCGTAAGACAAACTTCCAAATTAGCCAAAAACAACGTTGTAACTCTCTTATCGTACCAATTGTCACACGGCTATTTGAGCAGACGTTTAATACCTGCTTCCGTGAAACCAGATTTCGATGCGACGACGACGACGACGACGACGACGTTCAAGGTGTCGACGCGTTGTTGACTAAAAAAGAGAAAAAAAACAAATCGAGAATTGAAAAAAAAACACCTGTGCCTGCTTCTGGCGTAAAAAAATTTTCCCCTCTGAAGCAATGCCGAACATGTTTTAAATACGTTCATAATGTGAGAAAAGATTCTGATCGACTCGACGTATTTCTTTACAAGTTCGATTTAATTACGTACGAAGCAATGATTGTCAGCGCTAAGGAGCAGTGAACCTAGTTTGTATTTACTCATTTTCGGCTGCTACACACGCATCAATGTGTAATACACATTTAAACGCGTCCGTCATTCACGCTCGATAACGCCGGGCCGCGACGACCGCTTCGGAAAATCCTCGAGACGATCATCCATCCGACAGGCAATCGTCGCGTTGCTCGCATATTCAGCAGCTCTCGTGTACATACGAAAGTAGACTTTACCACTCAAAGCTCGATTAATTTCCCGTTTTTTAAAGTACTCTCACGCGGGGGGGACGCGATCTTGCCTTATGTATACGCGTACGAGAATTGCGTCGCGCGCGCAAAAGACACCCCGTGGCGATCGCCGCCGTCGCCGCCGTCGTATCCACATACTGCAGATCGTCGTGCGCGTGTACATTATACATAGTTTCGACGATGGCTCTTGCTATACATGCCATACTGCATACAGCGGCCAAAGAATAGAGCAGCATTGAAAGGGCCGTAGGAGCAACAAAGGCGTCGATGGCGAGATTTTTATTGCCTCTTCTTACTTGTCTCGCGAGCCAGAGACGTCTGCGTTTGTGCACTCGATCTCGATGTTTATGAATATTATACTAGACTACTGTAGCTGCCGAGCGATCGAAAAAAAAAATGATACTCGTCGCGATGGGAAAAAGGATATGAATGGCGTACAAACGATGATGAGGTCGTGTGGCTTACGTTTTTTCTTTTTCAAGTTAATTCGCTCGCGTCACGTGTAGCGCGAGTTATATACTTGGTAAATTGACGTTTTCGAATTTGTGCGTAATGAATATAGCAGGAAACGAGTCGTCAACGCGCTCGCAAAAAAATAAAAGAGAAGCGAGACGCTAATCCAGTCGAGAACACACACGCGCACACGTCCCACTAATCCGCAGTCGTCGAAATCGGAAAATCTTGGCTCTCTCTCGATCGCGCTCGGTTAACAGCAGGAACAAAAGCTCGCTGCTCCTTAAGGACCGTCTGGCTCTCTCGCGCGACAACCCGGAAACGGGATATATTTCACCTTGTAGATTTGCCGCGCTGAATGTAATTCTTTATTAGGCATATGCGCCTACTGGTCTGTTTCTTCGCTCGTATATACATACTGTACTTGCAGCCTAATTAAACGCGCCTTTGGCAATTCGAGTCTGCCTGGTGAGAGAGTTGTAGCGCGTGTAGGCGCGGAAACGAGAAACGCCGAGTCAAGAGCAAAAAAAAAAAAAAGAAAATGTAAAATTGTTGAACTTAACTTGGTTGTTGGAGCGGCGATGTCGCGTTATACACACCTACACCTCTCTACACACACACATACATGTGAATTGTGTGTACCGAACGAGACCCTCTCTCTGCGATCCGTACCAACGCCTCCGACAGCTTTGATCTCCGGTCGTTTTGTGTATACGTACGTATAGTACGGCGACCTTCGAGAGTGCCTTATGTACTATATATATTATTGCACGCGGCGCGCTTCAAGTGGTCGTCGCTCACTGCACCGACGTCGTCGTCGTCGTCGTCGTCGCCCGCAAAACCCCTTTGACGCGCGAACTGTAGCGGCGGCAGCTTTACAACCATATATATACTGTATACATCTATATATTATATATACTGTACTGCCTCTCTGTCCAATGGGTTAACCCCCGGTGTGTGGTGCTCGAAGAAAATCCGGCCAATTTGTTTTTCCTCGAGCGCCACATGCCGAGAGCTGGCGTTTATGCATCGCGCCCGGCTGTATATAGGCTCGAGCGCGTCAAACGAAAACTTGTAATAGTATATATAGGTAAGCTCCCGACTCCGAATATTATGTACCTATTGGTACACCGCTGAGTATGTATATTACGAGTGCTCCGTTCATCGATTTTTACTCCTTTCTATATTTGCCTCGTAGATTGTAGTTCAGGTGTAAGCTGTGCTGCAACTTACATTATTTTTCCTGTTATCCCCGCGCTGCAGTTCAATAATATAAGTTTGCGAGAAAAAGTATTTTTTCCCTCATCGTCGTGATTTTTTGCCAAGCGCAAAATTGACAAAATCATACTTGCGCGATAAGTCGTAGGAAGAAGATACGTGTGTGCACGACGCGTTAGGCAATTGGCGCATGCACTCGGAAACGCGTACAAACCGAATGATAAAATAGCTCGTTGCTGGCGAGAGATACGGCGGATGGCAAAAAATCGGAGCTCGTCGTATGTCGACTATTAGCGCGCGCATCGCAGCCTGGCGCTCGATCGAATAAATACCCGCACACAGATGTACAGGTTTTATATACGTATAGCGAGCGGCAGAAGTTGGCGCGAGAGCAAAAAAAGGTGTGCGCAAGGAAACGTGCGCCGCCTCGTCGAGAGATCGCCGCGTAGCGGCCACCTTTTATCCTTCGACGCATTGGCGATATGTTCGGTCACGATCGATTAGTTCAGCTATCGAGGCAGATATCGCATCTCTCGTTACATTAGCCGCGCGCGCGCCTCGGCTTTCGCGTAACGCGTATAAACCAACTCTATACTTATATCTATATAAGCTTTTCCTTTCGCGCGCCCGCAACAACTTGCCGCGCGACGCGTATACCTATATACCTATCCTATATAGCTGCTATAGCTAGAAAAAGAGAGAAGACTTCCAAGAAAAAGCCCGCAAGATTCCGTTGCGCAAGCGTCTCTCTCTCTCTCTCTCTTGCTCTGGCGACGTCGTCGTCACTTCGCAGTTGTCGAGGTTCTCTATCTCTCTCTCTCTCTCTCCCTGCCAGGCAAAGACTGCAGCACGACGCAGAAACTCAACGAAGCGCGAGTCGATTCGAATCGACTTCGCGCGCGGGTGTGTGTATATGTGTCTGAAGAACTCGAGCAAGAACGAGAGAGAGAGAGAGAGAAAACGAGATAAGCGATGTGATTTTTTTCCCTCTGCTGCAGCGGGTATATACATAAGTATATGGTAGTGAGAGGGACGTGTCCGAGAAATTCATATTATACATACTCGCGGACGTATGTGTCCGTACATCGCGTATGCAGCCTTTCAGAAATATCGTAACGTCGCTTTTAAATTTGCCAAACACATATCGTGGACAAAGTATATAAGTTATTATTTCACTTTAATATACATTCAATGCATAAATGTAGATGCAATGAAACGAAAGTTCGGAAGTAATATAATTTCTTATAAGCACAGGTCAGCTTTTAAACGCGCCCCACGAGAATATTCAAATGAGAAATCCTAATTGTTTTATTTGTCGTGCAAACAGCGGACTATTAACGTCATAATAAATATGCCTAAACGTGCACGAGGCTCGACCTTGGCGTTGATCGAGTTAAAAATCGACGACGGGCCCTCTTGTAAACACGCACTGCCTATAAAACATCATATAAAATGCACGCAGCAATGCAAACAGCCGTCAGACTTTGAAAGATCATGTTTGTGCTTAGCCGGGCATAATCTCGCCTAATCCCTCTTTTTCGGCGCATGGATCTCGGCCGAACTTGTGTAGAATAGTATCCCGTGTAGTCCGCCGTGTGTACGCGCTCGGCGCACCGAGAGGAATCTCTTCGCTCCGCTTTTTTCTTCTTCCTTTTTTTTCTCCATCGACACCTATAATATATAAATCGGCGTTGAAAAGATTTTTGCGGGTCTTTTAAACTTTGTAGCAGCGGAGCACTTGCCGCAGCAGAAAGAGCCTTAGATCTGCCTAATTTCTCACGAGCAATTTGCCCAGGATCATGAACTTGCAAAACGGCATTTGAGTAGCTGTACAGTTCCGTGTATAAATATATGCTCATTAGCTAACAACTTTGCGCGAGCATTATTATCATGCATGCCTGAACAAAGAAACAAAAGATGCGCGATCCTGTAAAAAAAAGAAGAAAACAAGTGAAAATAAGTTCATGAAGGAGGATTAAAATTGTGTGTACACAGGCGCTTCAGCCTCGCACATGTATAACGTTTGCATACTACACACACACATATATCGAAGCAAAGAGACGACGAGCTTTGGGACGTCCCCTCGTCGTATACACGTTGTTGTATGTATACGCGTTTCGAGCGCTACACGAGGCGACGGTGGGCACTAATTATCGCACTTAGGAACACTTTTGCATCCACCCCCGTGTATATGTGCTGCTGCTGCTGCTGCTGGCGCGTGTCTGTTTTTCCCCGTTAAATCCTTCCTTCCTCTTGTAAGCAGCCCATCGTATAGCGCGCGTTTCTACGTAATTTTGCTCGTCGCGTAACAGTAACTTTTTTTCTCTTTCCATACAAGAGCGATGTACAGAGTATGTGTATCTGTATGCGTACTATGTATTTGAATTGATAATTATGATACTCGATATACACTGCGAGCGCTATGTTTATATTGTATACAGGGAACGAAGCCACAACGACGCTTCTTCGAGTAGATCTGTCAATTCAATTACGTCGACCTTTCTCGCGCAGTCTTTTAGGCTTAATTATCCTGTGTGTGAAAAATTCAAATACTTTTGTGCCTCGATAGTTTTTTTTTCGTTATTATTTCTTAAGATAAGGGTAACTGGTTAATTTTACTTTATAATATCATCTATACATTGCCCAGACGAACGAATAAATGAGAACATTAATATGCAGTTTCAGTTAACGAAAGGCGCAGAAAGGCCTGAAGATTCTGCCGTCGCAGCAGCTGGGCGCTGCGGTCGCTCCATGGCCGGGCGCCACCGGCCTCCTAGGCTCCGTCACCGCTGACGACATGGCACATAAGGGTGAGTTTTAACATCTTCAAATTTTCGACACATTTCTCTCGAATAAAATTGTCCATTATAAACTACCACCGCGCGTCGACACGACGCATATTTTAATCGCGTGATTTTTCTTGGCTCCCGATCGCATGAATCATCGCTCGAAACAAAAACGACGCGCGCGAGAGAGGAAAAGCGACAATATCGAAGTTGGCACGTTTTAGTGCACGATCGAGTATTATACGCTGTATGCGCGATCTCGCTTATGTACAAACACGCATTGGAGAATTTTTCTGTCTACCGTCCGACGCTCTGTATTACGAGCAAGAAAGAGAAGAAAAGTTTGCGGATCAGATGATAGCGATGTGGACGCGTGTGCGTGTATATGTGTGTGTGTGTGTGTATGTGTGTGTGCGCACACCACCCCCTTCTCTCTTTTTCTCCTTGTGCCGTAATATCATCCACACCTACGCGCCACCCCATTCTCCTCTTTCATACACCATTCATCTTCTTTTTTTCTTCGTCCCCCAGCCTTCTTTTCTCTCTCTCTCTCTCTTTCTTTCTTATACCAAAAGTTTCTTATACATTCCTCGACTCCCTTTTCTCTTACGCTTCGTATAGTCGCCTATATTTTTCTTTTATGTACGAGTAGATTATGGAAGTGTATGCTCCGAGCAGCGAGTGACTTAATGCCATGCAAAAACGCATTAATTAATACGCGCGTCCCGTTCCATTACTTTTTCTTGTTTTTCTTTTTCGATTTTTTTTTTAACACGAATTACACGAATTTAAATACCCTCGATTCCGATCGAAACCCAGCTGATATCTAAATTCAATCGACATTAGCTTGAGAGGCTGGATCTTGATTCAAACACACTTCTCGAGTAAGATCGCGTGCACGGGGAATGGCGCACGGATGAAAAAAAAGAAGGAAAGAAAACGAGGAAAAAGAGTCACAGAACAGATTGCCCGTAGCGCGTCGAGGCGTTTAAATCCATTAGTCTCGTTGAAAGGCGCCAAGATATAGCGATCGACGAGCTCTATAGAACGCCGCTGCCAATTGCACTTGCATATAACGTATAACAGCCGATGTTATTACTGCGTGCCAACGTTCATTTACACTTTTCTTCTTTTCTCGTTTATATTTCTTGCCGAAATGGACATTAATTTTTCCAAAAGTTATCAAGTTTGACTTTTTTGAAAGCTCAAAACTAGCCTCAATTAAAAACATCTACATATTTGCTCTTTAAACGATGCAAGCATTAGAATTGGAACCACCACGCAAAGTCGCATCATACCCCAATGAAAAAAATAAGAAGCTGCCAAAAGAATATTCCGAAAAGGAGGCAAAAATAAGGAGATCCCGCGCTTGGGACGAGGAAAAAGCTTCGCAGTCATCGTTGTCGGGTCTCATATCGAACGCAGCACGCGGCGCACGGATACATATCTGTCTGTGCGAGGAATCGCCGCCTTATACGCAACGGAACCCACGAATCAAGCCGTAGTTGACGATCACGAGGCTGCTGCCAGCAAGCCGCGCACGCACCACATACCTATACTCATGCGCCTGCCTTGCTTTTTTCTCAAGAGATGTGTCATATCTAGCTATAACCGCGTCGATGCGTCGAGTCTCAAACGTGCCGCCACCGCTACTTTATATATATATATATATATATATATATGGCTGAATCTCTGTCAAGTTAAAGGCCCAAAATATTAATTTCTGCTGGCACAAAAAACCGTTTTTTTTATATCATGCACGTCCGAGAATTTCATCAGAATTTTCAAGCTTATTTAAAGACCGAAGTATTTGTACAATAAAAATAAAAATAAAATAAAGGACTTATAAAATTATTTTGACGTTCGCATTTGCAGATTTACAGATATAAAAGTACTCGCCATCTAATGGTAAAGGCCTGAAGTATCTCATTGAAAGAGGTTGAAAACTTGTCAACATTTTTTTAAAATAGTCAAATTGTTATTTCAAAAACTAGCAAATTAATGATGATGAATTTTTAAATATTTTAAAAGATCAGCTTTTGGTCATTAAGCTATTATTAATATTAAAAGTTTCTACAAGGGCATTAATTTTCGTGAAAACGCCCGCTTTGGTCTTTTGAAAAAGTACGATGAATGATTCCAAAAATTCTACCAAAATTGGAGAACATCTGCGACATTAGAAATAACAAATTTTTCATATACCAGTAGAAAAAAACTGGTATGGTTATTCAATTTCATAGAGAATCGACCATATACATATGCCTACTTTACCGCTGCGCGTGCGTATACTTGCTACTAAATACGGGCGCAGAGAAAACAGCGAGGAAAAAAAGAAACAGTGCATAATACGCCGGTGCAACATCTTCTGAGAGATGGTTTATGTGGTGGCGGTGGCAAAGAAACAGATGCCAGAAAGTGAGAAATAGAGAGAGAGAGAGAGGAAGGCACAACCCCTTGCGAGCGTCTTTTTCCGCTTTTCTCGCGCGGCGTGCGGAGCTCTAACGTTAACGTATACGAGCGCAGAGCAACGCATTGCGCCCGAGCCTGCACCTTTGATTTCCTAGGCTGCGTATACACGTATACGCGATAGAAAGTCTTTATCTCTCTTTCGCGCTTTGTACAACTCAAGAGAGAGAGAGAGAGAGAGAGAGAAGGAGAGCCGCTAGCGAGCTCTGCCTGCGCGCTCGAGTTTATAACATGCCACTCGAATGGCGCAGAGGCGCTCCCCCCAAAAGGCACAGCAGCAACGGGAGCTTTTCTCCACCTACACACTCCTTACTTCAGATCTCCTTCTGGCATCAGCTGCAGCATCTTTGGCTCTCCTGTGTATATCTACATAAACGTGTACACGCGCCTATATAAGACGGCGGCCTCTCTTTCGGCTTTTACTCCCTTCGTTCTCTTCCTCCTCTGTACTTCTTTTTCTCTTCTTTTCGACTCTGAAATATTCACCGATATGGAATGTACCTTTTTACGCGTTTATGCACGCCCCTCCAGCTCACGTGCGTATACGTCGCGCGAGCTTTTAGCAAAGCTAAAAAGGAAGACATACTTCGTCTTTGAAGTAATTAAATCTTTCGGTACGAGTCAAGCAGCTCCCGCTGCGGTGTATGCGAGCGACAAAAATAAAAGGAGCGGCGTCGGGTAAAAAGGGATGTTACGATGTTTTCAGGTGCATTCGTACAAACTCTGTAACTCACTCGTTCGCGCGCCGCAGCTCGCACATGGGTTTCTTTGTAAAAACCGATGATACTTTTCAAATCAGTGGCTGGAACCGCCTTGTTTCGTCGTATACACACAGAAAGCCTGAAACAACTTTTTCATGCGTCTTTCAACGAACCCTTGAAATTATTACTTGCTTGAGAAAAAGCGATAGTCCGATCGCGATGTACGTATACAACATGGTATACAGCACTGTGGCCCTCTTTGCATAAAATAATCGAAATTGGCCTCGCGATCGCGTCTCCCTCTCGTGTGCCTTTTGGAGTCTTGGAGCGCCCGTTTACGTCCTGCATGGAAATAGCTATGTATGGCATACACCCACGCGTCACACATACACGTAGCTGAAATTCTCGTGCCATGCATGTAGTAGCTGTCTCGCGCAAAAAGGCAGCAGTAGCAGCAGCAGTAGACAGACAGACAGACAGACGGAGAGAAATCGTATACCTATATGGGCTGCGAGTCTATGTATGAACGCTGCATAGGCGCGCGCGCGCGTTCGCATATACATACACATATACAGAGACTGTTCGCGAGAAAGAGCCTATACGTAGTACGTCTTGCATCGAGTGCATTCGACTGTGAAATTTCCTCTTCAAACAGCCGGAGAGAGAGAGAGAGAGAGAGCTACTGCTTCTGCTGCTGCTGGGCTATATAGCTACTGTACGATGTATATGTAGAGAGAGAGAGAGAGCCACGCTTAGCTGAGAGGCACAGTGTACAGTGCACACACACACACACACACACACACACAGTGGGAGCTTTCTCTCGTATTTTGGGTGGTATATATACAAGCGCGCGCAAGCACAAATGTACACGAGAGAAAGAGAGGGCTCGGAGCGACGAAAGAGGTAAACTACGAGAAAAAGAGAGAGAGAAAGAGTAAAAGCGGATATCTTCGTGTTTGGAGTAGTACCGGCTACGTAACTGGTGCACGTCAGAGTCGACTCCGGCGTATATTTGTAAAGACTACCCGGAGGAGGACGCGCACGTGTGTGAGTGTGTGTGCGCGCCTCTCTGTCTTTTTTTTATTTCTTCGCTCTTTATCTGAGTATATACACGATCACTCGCATACGAGTCTCGCGTGTGTGTGCTGCTTTGCCTCGTACACGCAGCTCAACGTTAGTTGCAACGACGACGACGACGAGGTAGTACACAAGTTTTTCCTCCTTCTCTCGACTTGCATCCCCTGTATGCACACACACTCATACACGCACTCACACTTGCGAGCGTTCAATGTTACTCTCGCTTCTCGTTGTTGTCTTTTTTTTCCTCCCTGTGAAAGAAGAAAAAAAACCGAGAAAGCTGAAATCGCTTTTTCGCCCGACGAAATGGCCTCATTTGCAATGCTTATGATACGCTACTGCTGCTGCTGCTGCTTTGCCGGATCGCGATGAATCGTTTTTCTCGTTTATTCTTTTTTCCTTCGCTACAGCACCTCGCGCGCGCGAGCACCAACGTTAAAAAGTGGCAGTGCACTGGTGGCGGCGACGGTATAGTGGCAGCAGCAGCAGCAGCAGCAGCGAGCAAATGAATGTTGATAAATATCGGATATTCCGCGATGGAATGTTTCATTCGAGAGGTCGCCAGGCAGTAAACTTCTTATCGAATTTTTCCGACGTACCCCTCCATGCCAACTGGTTTACATTTTTATATATTATACGCGTGCATGTAAAAAGCTTATATTATGCTGGCACGGGTCCTGCCCCGCGCTCAAAATTGGAAAATCGTATATGTGGCAATATATGTGCATTGATTCGATGTGCACGAAATGATGGCACACACACGTATGACGAGAGCTAAAC